AGTTCTTCAGGCACTCTGTCTATCAGAGTGCCTGAAGAACTATGGACGGAGGTTCACAACATTGTACAAGAGGTAGCAACTAAAACCATCCCAAAGAAAAAGAAATGCAAGAAACCAAAATGGCTGTCTGAGGAAGCTTTACAAATAGCTGAGGAAAGAAGGGAAGCGAAAGGCAAGGGAGAAAGAGAAAGATACACCCAATTGAATGCAGAATTCTAGAGAATAGCTAGAAGAGATAAGAATGCCTTCTTAAATGAACATTGCAAAGAAATAGAAGAAAACAATAGAACAGGGAAGACCAAAGATCTCTTCAAGAGAATTGGAGATATGAAGGAACATTTCATGCAAAGATTTATTTATTTATTTATTTTGCGATTTATATCCTGCCTTTTTCCTACAAAGGGGTCAAGGCAGCTTACATCATCTCTCCTCCTCCATTGTATCCCCACAACAGCAACCCTGTGAGGTAGGTTGGGCTGAGAGTCTGTGACTGGCCCAAAGTCACCCAGTTGGCTCCATGGCTGAGCGGGGACTTGAACCCAGATCCTCTGAGTCCCAGTCCCATGCTCTTAACCACTATACCACACTGGCTCTCAGGCATGATAAAGAACCAAAATGACAGGGACCTAACAGAGGCAGAAGAGATTAAGAAGAGGTGGCAAGATTACACAGAAGAACTATACAAGAAAGAGCTTAACGTCCCTGATAACCACGATGGGGTGGTCACTGACCTCGAGCCAGACATCCTGGAATGTGAAGTCAAATGGGCCTTAGGAAGTCTGAGCAACAACAAAGCTAGTGGAGGCGACAGTATTCCAACAGAGCTATTCAAAATCCTAAAAGACGATACAGTAAAAGTGCTACACTCAATATGCCAGCAAATTTGGAAAACTCAATAGTGGTCACAGGATTGCAAAAGTTTCCGATTCCAAAGAAGGGCAATGCCAAAGAATGTTCAAACTACCGCACCATTGCACTCATTTCATATGCTAGCAAAGATATGCTCAAAATCCTACAAGCTAGGCTCCAGCAGTATGTGGACTGAGGACTACCAGAAATACAGGCAGGATTTCGAAGAGGCAGAGGAACTAGAGATCAAATTGCCAACATATGCTGGATCATGGAGAAAGCTAGGGAGTTCCAGAAAAACATCTGCTTCATTGACTATGCTGAAGCCTTTGATTGTGTGGATCACAACAAATTGGGGCTTAAAGAGGTGGGAGTACCAGACGATCTTATTTGTCTCTTGAGAAACCTATATGCGGGTCAAGAAGTGAATACTGGACACGGAACCACTGATTGGTTCAAAATTTAACTTATATGCAGAGCACATTATGAGAAAGGTGGGGTTAGATGAATCACCAGTTGGAATTAAGATTGCTGGGAGAAATAGCAACAACCTCAGATATGCAGATGATACCACTCTAATGGCAGAAAGTGAAGAGGAACTAAAGATCCTCTTGATGCGGGTGAAGGAGGAGAGTGCAAAAGTTGGCTTGAAACTCAACATTAAGAAAACTAAGATTATGGCATCCGGTCCTCTCACTTCCTGGCAAATAGATGGGGAAGAAATGGAGGTAGGGACAGATTTTATTTTCTTGGGCTCCAAGATCACTGCAGACGGTGACTGGAGCCAAGAAATTAAAAGATGCTTGCTCCTTGGGAGGAAAGCTAAGGCTAATCTAGACAGCATACTAAAAAGCAGAGACGTCACCCTGCCGACAAAAGTTTGTATGATCAAGGCTATGGTTTTCCCAGTTGCAGTGTATGGCTGTGAAAGGACCAAAGGCCAAAGGATTGAGGCCTTTGAATTGTGGTGCCGCAGGAGACTCCTGCGAGTCCCTTGGACTGCAAGGCAATCAAACCAGTCATTCCTAGAGGAGATCAACCCTGACTGCTTTTTAGAAGGCCAGATACTGAAGATGAAACTCAAATACTTTGGCCTCCTAATGAGAAGGGAGGAGTCCCTGGAGAAGAGCCTAATGGGAACAATTGATGGCAAAAGAAGACAGGGACAGCAGAGAATTAGGTGGCTAGATGGAGTCACTGAAGCAGTCGGTGGGAGCTTAAGTGGACTCCAGGGGATGGTGGAGGACAGGAAGGCCTGGAGGAATGTTGTCCATGGGGTCGCGATGGGTTGGACACAACTTTGCGACTTACAACAACAACAGTGCAATTGGTGAGCTTTATCCAGTAAGTCACTGGTACACAGAAGCTTTCCTGAGGAATACCTATTTATTTATTTATTTATTTAAAACATTTTTATGCCACCCCCATCGCAATGAAGCCTCGGGGCGGATCACAACAGGATACAAAGTACATAAATACATAACTTCCTATATATTGCTAAAAAAGCAATTGCAATAAAATATGTATTTGGAGGGTTTCCCCCCTGGTTCTTACCAATGTGAAGGCAAAGAGATGTCAAAGAAGCTTAAAGGCGTGCCCTGGTCACCTGAGGCCACTTTTGATTATGGGTTCTCTAAAACTGTTGCCAGACAAGGATAGTGTAGGCAGGCATTCCAAGCATATGCCCTGTTTGATCAAGGCATCCAAAGACATGCCAGCTGTTCAGGTGCCACAGTAGCATAAGTTGAATTTTGCCTTTCTTGCAGCTATTCATGATTGCAGGATGATACTTGGAGGTCTGCAGCTTCTGCACTATCTGGAACTTTCTTAGTGAACCAATACTAGTGAACTAAAGCCTAGTCCTGTGAGCATCAAAATTTGTAACTTCATTCAGCAATGACACATACAGTGGAATGGTTAGAGGATATTGGGATGTTGTCTAGAAAAAAGTCATGCAGTGTTTAATTTTTGAACTAGGTCATGACACCCCCAGATTTCTCATAATTTCTTTATCTCACTCTCTCATTCTCTCCGTTTGGATAAGCAGCTTTCTTGCAATCACAGTTGCAAAGAAAAATTGAAAAACATAGGCTCCAAAATAGGAAGGGGATCCCAGAGGTGGTTGGGGTCAAGACGTTAATCCCTGCTCCTTCCTACAATGTCTTATCTTTCCATGTTGCACTAATATATCTGTTCTGTTCTCTGCTGAAGTCCTATCTCTTTTTCTCTACTCACCACCACACAATAATTATACATCTTTTTTCTTTTGTAAGTTTGCTAATTGAATGTTTACATTTTAAAAGTTTGCATTCATCAGATACTGCCCAAGTAGACACCGTTATTTCCATTTGCACAATTAGTACTGTTTACAATGTAAAATTGTATATTCCTTGCATGCTTTATATACTCAAATACATTTTCTTTAGCAGTAAAGGGCAACATAGACACACTAGTTCAGGATGGCTTGCTCTCTCTCTCAGGTGGAATGAGATACAGGAGCTTAGCTCTTGTCAAGCTGTGAATGGTCCCTGTCATGTGACATTATCATGAGAAGCAGCAGGACCTGACTTTGGCCCTTGTCTCCACTTACATCAGCAGCAACAGCTCGAACTGTGATATGCCTGGATTGCTGTTTCCCTTCATTCTGGCTTAAAGAATGGAATAGATCCAGTTGCAAAAAGAAAGGCTGGTTGTTGTAGGTAGCCAGACCCTCCTTAAGGTGTTGCAATAACATAGATGTTGTCTCTGTACATTCAGGTTCTTGACGAGGCTCTGAAGATTTGCAATTACATCTTCACTGTCATCTTTGTCATGGAATCTGTTTTCAAGCTGATTGCATTTGGGTTTCGACGATTCTTTCAAGACAGGTAATGATGCAGTAAAACCTTGAAGGGGTTTTTAAAAGGTTCCAGAGTGTCTCAGTTTAAGTTCTTTCTATCAGTATAAGTATGAGGATGGAGTGGCCCTAATGGGGCCTTGGTCAGACAGCTCTTGATGGTAATGTGCTCATCAGAACAAACGTTACACTCAGAGACAGCCAAAGAAAGGCCCTCTGGAGCAGGGCTCCCCAGCATTACAGTGACACTCATGAAGGCGTCCCCCAACTTTTAATTTTTTACATTTTTACTCTGTTCTGTCCTGCAATTATAGAGAAGCCGGCCAAATGTCCCAGTTAGTAACCATTGGAAGGTGGTGCTGCTATGCCATCTATTCAAATGTTGAAAATGTTACAAGGTTCTCACTCCACTGTATTGTAGGAAGTGAGTGGTTATCCTTTCAATGTTGTAATATCAGTCTTGGAGTTTCAGAAGGGCCCAGAGTATCTATATCCTCTTCTGTTAAGCCGATAAATACTTTAGAAGAGCACGTACATAAATGAATATTGAAGGCTTTTCCAGTACAAACATATTTGTGTAATAACCTCCTCCCAAAGAGAAGCAACTACTGGACATTGCCAAAACATGTGTTTTAAAGAACATTAGCTTTATTCCACTGCCAGAAATTAGACAATCCCTCATTAAAGAGACATTGCAGCCTTCGGTACACAGGAAACATGCTTAGATCCCACTGAAACTAGCTCTCAGTTCCCAGCTACTCTGCCACTTTTCTAAACCTCTAGTACAACTAAGTGTTAAAATCTTGAACTGGCAGCAGGTCAGGGATGCAATTTTAACGCTCCCCGTTTTAAGGGAGTTGAAAATGAACACAGCAGGGAGCCAGCTGCCAGGCACTGCTATGCAACTCACAGCCTGGACAATGTCGATCCTCCCTAACTTCTGCTTTGCATAGCAGGGAGTAAGTTACTTGCCTGGACTTGCCCTTGTGGACATTTTATAACTTGCAGCAGCTGCAGCTCCCTTCCAGTGTGTGTTTGTCTTGCATTTTGCGTGCGCAGTGAGAGATGGGTGAAAAAATGAAAAGCAAACATGTCCGATCCCACCCTCTTCTCCTTCAGTAGACTTACAAGTCCTGGGAATGTATTCTTTCCCTAAGACCCAACCTGCTGCGGTAGCCATCGTGTGTGAAAATGCCTTCCTATCCCAGCAAGGTGCATTCTGGGGCAGGGAGCAAAGAGAAGATGTGAGGCCGTAGGTGTAGAGGGCGGGCCCCAGCCTCCAGACAGTGATTTGCTTCCATGAGATGAATGCACTGCAACAGCAGGCCAGGAGCAATATCAGCAGCATCACCAGGAGATGTCAATGTACTGTTGGATGTGTGTGTAACCCACACTGGATTTTAAAGAAAGAAGCAAATTCTGGTCTGCATGCAGTTAACAGAACCCCTCTACCTTGTCCACTTTTTATATTTTCTCCTTATTAAAATATAAAAATCATGTAAAGTGAGGCTTCTCAGCTTCACATAATAACCTGTTTTCCTTTTCTGTTTGGTCCCTCTCTTTGGTCTTTTTAGGGGACCACCATATAACACCTGTAGAGCTTGTTTTTGTCCTTCATCTGAACCTTCCAGCAAATCTTTCAATCTTTCTTTCTCTCACTGTGTGTGCATGTGTGTAACTTTGGAAAGATTCACTAAGTTCACTAAGAACTGTACTTGAAAATTTAGCTTGAATAAAACATTTAAAGAGAATTAAACAAACATCGGCTTTCTTTTATTATCTGGGTTGCCCTGCACATTAATTCAATTACCATTTTGCCCTTTCTTTTCTAGTCTGTGGTGTGCTGAGACTTGGCTAAGTCTATAATCTATTAAATAAATCCTTTGTTTAATGTGTTCCATCTCAAAAATTGCTTGAGGTGGAGTGTCAGTTCATGCGTGCTAGAATGACTGAAATGATCGGAATTCCTTGATCACACAAGTGCCCCTACCTCCACCCCTTGCAAATAATTTAGCAGATTTTTCCACTTGATTTTTATGTTGCTTTCAGATGGAACCAATTAGACCTGGCAATAGTGCTGTTGTCCATCATGGGCATCACGCTGGAAGAGATTGAGGTGAATGCATCGCTGCCTATCAACCCCACCATTATCCGAATCATGAGAGTCCTGCGGATTGCTCGAGGTCAGTCTCCTCCACGTAGCTTTTGGCCCAAGAGGAACCACTGATTTCTGGCACTGTGGGGATTCCCATACTCCATGCCTACAATTCAAGTATAACCTGCCTAGCTAAGCGTCACCTCAACATACTTGGACTTGCTAGGTGAACTACATAATTCTAATTTACTTGTTAATTTGGCCACCATCCAGTGTGGCTGCCTGTAGCCCTCCAAACTCAGAAGGTTGCATCCATCCAATCATGCGCAGGAAGAGCATGGAGGAAAGTATTACCTCCATGTTTCTGCCACCCTGCAAAAGACTCGGTAGTGCTTAAGAGCATGGGATTGGGACGCAGGCAATCTGAGTTCCAGTCCCCACTCAGCCTGGGTGTCTTTGGGCCAGTCACAGACTCTCGGCCCAGCCTGCCTCACAGGGTTGTTCTTGTGGGGACTGAGAACTGGAGGAAGAGAATTATGTAAGCTGTTTGAGTTTGCTGGGAAAAAAGTGGGATATAAATCTAATAAATAAAATGAATAAATATAAATAATCACCTTTCAGCCATCTATGTCTTTTGCCTCTGCTCACAAAGAGCAGAGTCTGAGGCACCCCCGGTTTCTTCATAGGATGCAGGGCCTCACTCTGTCCCTCCCTACCACCTTGAAAGTCCCTCCCCTGAGCCTTTCTTGAGCCCTCCCTGAGAAAGAAGTGCATCAGCTGTAAGGAGGAGTGGAGGACTGTCTGAAGAAGGAACCCCCACTGTGATCCTGGAGGGCTTTTACAAGGCCACATGAAGGACTCCGACCTTTCCTATAACCACCAGAGAACATCTTACTGTCCATCGGATTGCACTCTCTGTACATTTGTATGCCACCTCTTCTCTGATGTGTGAAGGTAGCATACATGGTTCTTCTCCCCACTCCCACCCCTATCTTATCCTCACAGTAACCCTGTGAGGGAGGTTAGGGGGAGCAGATGACTGGTCCAAAGTTACGCCATGAGTTTCATGACTGAATGGAGATCTGAATCTTGGTCTCCCTAGTCCCAGAGTTTTATGGGAGTGTTATGCTTACTCAGAGCTAGATTTCTGTGCTTGTTAAAACCAGTGGTTCATGTGGCAGGCATTCTGTACCGCAGAGGTCTAGAATTGTTTGGTCCTCAAGCGCTCCAGATGAAATCCTGCATCTGTATGCTCAACCAAGAGAGCTACTGGTGGAGATTCTGCTCCAAGCAACAAGGAGTTTGCCACACAAGCACTACAGCTGGTGCCATTAGGTTATCAAGTCCTTTGCCTGGAAGGTCAGGAGTTCACTCCCTAAGTGCATCATGGGCTCAGAACCAAAAAGCGAGACTATTTCTTCCCTGGTCTAGCCACCTCTGAAATCAGTGGGGGTACATTTGTGTTCTTAACTCTTAGTTTGAAGCTGAATTCTCGCAGTCGTTAGATCAGATAGATTTCTGACCTTTCCAAACCAGTTTACTTTACTCAATAGCAGTATTCCCTGCCAGGCGAAAAGGTCATGCTTGCATTCCTGGCACCCAATTTAGTGCATAAAGGAGATGGAGTCTCGTGCTTTATGCCCTGAGCAGGTGACAGTGTTTACAGGAGTCAGGCTGCTGGCGCCCTGACAGTAACAGCGCATTCGGTAGAACATGGCCTTGTATTTTCCCCTCCAGTGCCACCCACTTGCCATGAGGCTTAGACAACCTGATGGGCCTTTTGAAATGTACCATTCTTTCTCACCTGCCAGTGCTGTGGCAATGATGCAATGAACATTTCATTCTCTGCAGTGTTAAAATTGCTGAAGATGGCTGTAGGGATGAGAGCTTTGCTGGACACGGTCATGCAAGCACTGCCTCAGGTAACTTTCGTATCTTTTCACAAAGACCTTGGTTAATTTTCCTTCATTTTTTCCTTGCCTTGAGAAATCTGTGAATCAGTTCCATTTCTCCCTTACTCGTGTCTTCTCCATGTTTGGAGCTACTTTTACTGGGGGTTCAGTGAGAATGCCAGTGTTTCATTTCTAATAGTTGGGCATCTGCACAAAGCCCGACAAAAGTCTTCTGCTGCAGTTCTTCGTGTTCTAATTGGTTTGTTCATGTTCTGTTTAGTTTATCAGCCTCGACCTCTGTTGTTCTCTATACCTCTGTTTTTCCTACTTTTGAGTTTGTGGACTTGGCTTAAGGGGAAGAAAAAAGATCCATATATGCACTGACAGTTATGCATTCACACCCCAAAACAAAGCAAATACCATAATACAAGAAAACTACAGTGAAGGAAACTCTGAAATTTCTCCATAGATTGTAGAACAGTTGGAAATTATCTAAGACGCAATCCATCCCAACCACTGAAGACTAACACAAAACATTCAGTAATGCTGTTTCTTTATCATTTTAAAAGCATCAACACAAAAGAAAAGTCTGTGCCAATGAAGTAGAAAGGGGTGGGGGGGATAAAAATATTATTAAGTTTGTCCACCCAAGAGCAAGTGGCATTGTGAGAAAGTTAGTTCCAGTTTAAGGAGGTTCCAGTTTCCCATGAAAAGTCATCAAGGTGGAAAGCTACTTGCTGTTGCTCACATGATGGAATGTGGGCTTGGCAGCCATTTGCTGTATTTCCAAGTATACAAATGTAACATGTGGTCTAGAATTATCTAGAATTATTATCCTACAAACGCAGCATGTGGAACAGAGCAAAGAATTGCTGGATCCAAGCCCCTGATAGAGCAGTAGTTTGTGCTCAACTTCTTGTAACGGAAACAAATCTATCAGTAGAATGGGCAGGACATTTCCATTTAAGACTTTCTCCTGCCCAACAAAGTGACTGGCAACAATTAAAACCTTCGAACCAACTTCAAGCTGTGCTTGTGTTTTCCCCCACCCATTGTGTGTCTGTTAGGGTTACAGCCTTTGTATTTGTTCATTGGCAGTCAGTTTGGATTGGCTTGCTGCTCGTAGGCTGATATGACTTGGTAACAACATTGAAAGAAAACATAGACAAAGCTTATCCATTGAAAATAAGATAAGAGAGTCACACATCAAAGAGTGATTTATTTTTCTCCATTTCTTTTTCTTTACAGGTGGGCAATCTCGGTCTTCTCTTCATGTTGTTGTTTTTCATATTTGCAGCTCTTGGAGTGGAGCTGTTTGGAGACCTTGGTAAGTTCTCTCCTCCATCTGTTGCATTAATTAGTTGAGGCAGGATAAAGTAGACATTCGTAAAGGAGCCAAGGGTAACTCCTCTTTATTGTTGGTTTGTTGTACAGAATGTGATGACACTCATCCATGTGAGGGCTTAGGGCGGCATGCAACCTTTCGCAACTTTGGGATGGCCTTTCTCACACTTTTCCGTGTGTCCACAGGAGACAACTGGAATGGGATAATGAAGGTAAAATTTCCATTAGAGTAAGTGTTCCATTGAAGAATATAAGGAAGAGACTTTCAGGGTTGGAGAAGGTGAATAGTTCTCTATGATTTTTTGAACTGCAATTAGCTGTGGCAGGAGTACATATGTGTGTACAAATAGCTTTCCTTTTTTAATTCTGCTTGGTGCCACTATTTTCTCTAGCTGTTGCGGCTCCTTTTTGCATTTCTCCCAGAATTCTCCTAGCCAATCAGGGATCATGTTATGATCAGGGCATCAGCAAAGCAGTCAGGTCTGACATCACTAAGAGCAAAGCCAGAGCAAAGTCATGCTTTCTGAATTAAGGGAACTCCTCCTAAACACTGTCCATGACTGAAAATTGTCAAGGTCAGGGGAGGTGCTGTTTTTGGCTGGTTCTTTGCAGAGGCTTCTAGGCACACGTCAGTGGACGCTTATAGTTTCACTGGTGGGTGGCAGTGCTTAGCATCTACAGCTGAGATTACAGTTGACACAGAATGGGTCAGGCCCATCCTGTTCAGAATCATCATATCTAGATCCCTGTCCAGATCGATAGAGAACCAGTGTGATGTGGTGGCTGGAGTGCACCGGGGACCAGCAAGATCCAGGTTCTAGCTCATTGGGTGACTTTGAGCCAGTCACTCACTTTCAGCTTGTCCTATTTCACAGGGCTGTTGTTGTGAGGATAAAAGGGAACTATGTAAGCTCAACTGGCTTCCGCACAAGGAGAAAAAGATACACATTCTGTGTTTTAATAATCATAGTCATAATAATACAGCCTCCAACCATGGCAAAGGCCCTGAATTCACTTCAGTTCCCGTGCCACTGCACACTTCATTGTGCATGTGATTTAGTAAGTAGACAGAGTTTACAAGAGAGATGTCTCGTGCAGAGTTCAGGGAGGGCTTAACATGGCAGAACAGGATATGCAAGTACTAAAAATGCCTCAGAAAGACTTTGGCCTGGTGGAGGAAATGGATCTGCAGAAATTCTACAGTGAGCTTTGCCCACTCTGGTAAAACCCATGTGGCCTTGGAGCTGGAAGCTGAGTAGCCCGGAGTGGATAGGTACCTGGAGCTCTCTCATAAGCCACACCCATGTCCACCTCCCTTCCCTCTGTTCCCTCCCAGGACACGTTACGAGACTGCGATGAGGAATCCACCTGTTACAACACTGTCATCTCGCCTATCTACTTCGTCTCTTTTGTGCTGACAGCCCAGTTCGTCCTGGTGAATGTGGTGATTGCTGTACTGATGAAGCACTTGGAGGAAAGTAACAAGGAAGCAAAAGAGGAAGCGGAGCTGGAACTGGAGCTGGAGATGGAAATGAAGACGATCACCCCGGGTCAGCACCCGCCCACAGACCCTTTCACATGGGCAGGCAGTAATGCAGGAGAAAGGCCTGAGAGTCCTGGAGGATATGCCAATCCCATGCAAATCAAGGTGGATTCTCAGCTCTCATTGGTTCACCCCATGGTGAGAATCTCTGGTGGTGGGTGAAGTGCGGAGTAGCATACGCTTTTCTCAGACAGCATGTGCACAAGTTCCACTAAGGAAAAATTGAGTGTATTGCTATTATATACAGGAGTTGTATTCCTTTTCTCTGAAAATTCATGGGGCACACACTAAATCCCTCTGCACCAATCGCAGGCCACCAAAACCAGGTGTTCCCACAGGATTGCTTTTATTCATTGTATCTTCACCCCCTAAAAATATAAAAGGAAGCTCTAGTTTCTTAGACACAGCTTGTTTGTTATTGTCTGTGTTTGAGGGAAAGTATACAAAGGGCCTGATTTTCTTCTCATAGACCTCCTCTGCAGTGATTCTAGGCTTTTCCATTGGAGCTGTCATGAATTGTAAGTTGACAGGGTATGTCAGCCCACAAGGCATGCCAGGCACATGGTTACACAAGATATCTGTTTATTCTCCTAGCTGGATATTTGGTATACATAGCATAATTATTCAAGCACATGCCAGATACAACTTCTATTTTCAGACTTTTGGGACAAAAGGAATTTGCCTTTATTGGTTTAGTACCTTCTACAGATTTTCATTTCAGTGCAGCACCAATGACCAAAGATTTGGAAATATCCACATCAGGGTAGGCGGAGCTGTTAGTCCCCTTCTCCATTCACAAACCTCCCCCTGGATAAGAGACAATCAATTTATTTGCCAGAGAGACTCAGTTCACTGTTCATTGCTCAATGAACAGTCATTGCCCTTTTTCGTTGTTAGGTACCTGTTCATTTATGATAAACAGGTGTCACTGCCAGGGATGTGTAACCAGCTGCAGCACTCAAGCAGGCAGAGACTAGGGAAAGGAATTGACACTTTTATCAGCCACCTGAGAAAGTTTTTAGAAGTTATCAAAGTCAGCTTTCATCTTACAGCACACTTGGAAAGGTATATATCTGCAGTATTTTCTTTCATTTTTAAAATGCTTGCTTATCTGCCAAGGGAAATAAATAAACTCCTTGTATATAATCTTAGCTAGAAAGGGGGTTGCAAATTATTCCATGAACCCCTCGGGCAAGGGACATTGTGAGAGGTCAAGAGTGCCCCCCTCCCGCAACACACACAATTCTTTTTCAGTGAAAATCTCTGCTCCTAAGTGCTGTTTGTTTGAATACATGATGAAAGAGGAATACAGCTCCTATAATGAAACCCTGTAGAGTCACGTGATTGGCATGTTTCTTTGCTTGCATGTCCCATACAATCTCTGCACTGTATAACTGTAAGGGTTCATGTCATCAAACACATTGTCTCTTGCCTGCGGAGAAAGTCTTGCTTTTAAGTTATCAGCCATCGTACTGCTATACAAGCTTTACACTATGCATCATTATTCTACTGTATGCACTTGATACAACATTTCTGAAGTTGGGAGCCTGGCATTTGGAAATCAGGCTAAACCTTTATAAAGTTTCTAAAGAATCTGTCTTGTAGACGTATCAGATGCTACAGAATCTAAAGCTGGAATCCTAATCCCATGTGATTCAATATAAGTAGGCCCGTTAATTGTTTTTCAAGACTTAAATACAATAATTGTCAAGAAAAGTCAAAGGACACTAAGTTATGGCTGATGAATCACTTCCACCTCAGAACTTGCTTTTCAGCTGGGTTGGACCTGTTGAGTTGGACGGGCCAGCACTGCAGCAAAACACCCTGGCATTGAAAAATTCATACAAAGTCCTGACTTCTACAAGTGCTTTGAGGGTGGAAGTATAGGAAAACTGCTTTTGCAAAATGTTCCCTGCCACTTTAATTATGAGACGGCTATGTATAATATTTTATGCCTGATTCCAGACATTACATCTAGTGTTAAATGAGCCTATGGTGCTCCTTGTTCAGGTTTCCTTTTAATCCAGTAGCAAAAGCATTACGACTTGCAACCACAGAACTTAAAGGACCATTGAAATGGTGCCGTTATTTTAGAGGAGGAGTGGGGAATTAAAGGCCCTCCAAACGTTGTTGAATTCCTCCTAGTATGGCCATTGACTGAGGTGAGGAGGAGCTGTAGAGCCACTGCCTATGGTGCTGCACCCTTGGTGTAAACCTGTCCCGATCGCCAACAAAGCAAGGTTAGCCCTTGATCTGGAAAGCAAACAAGAGCATTACTGCATGGATGCTACCTCTGAGGGCCTGGTTCAGTGCACGCAATATCGCCAAGTCACACAGAGCCTATCTTGATTTTCTACCAGGGGAATGATTGATGTTGCATCAGCTGTGCACAATGCCCGAGGAGAAAGCAGCGATCTTCCAAAATGAACAAGCCACATAATACTGTTGATTTATTTGAAGGTGCTGTGACCTATTGCAGGCTGTGCACCGGTGTCTGGATCTGGAAAGTAAGAAGCAGCCCATGTGGATGCTCATAAGTCGTCATAGTGCCAAGCACTCCCTTGCCCTTAGAATTAGTTGTCTCGTTAAGCATACATAGTTGAAAGAGCCAATGCTTGTAGCAACAGCTTCATCCTTTCCTACTGGAGCCTGATGAAATGGGAAAGGCCCGTGCTCACTCTCTTGAGACTAGGGCAGGAAATGTGCATTCCTCTAGATGTT